TTGATAATCTTACACTCTTCCTCTTTGGAGCACTTTACAGCCTTTTGACAATTAATCCAGCTAGACAGGGACCAGGATAAGGAAATCTTATCCTTACTTTACAGTTCCACAGAGAAATACTTAATTCCAGAGTCAGGACTGTGGCACAAGTTCCTGATTCCCAGTCTTGGGCCCATATGAAATGTGTAAGTAATTAAACTTCCTTTACTCATTTCAGCTGCTTCTCATTAACCAGGAGTATAAACTCATTAGATGGGGAACTTTTTGTTACATGTGCTCAGAACACCAGCACAATGAGGCTGGGAATCCTTCTGAGCCTCTCCAAGTGTTACTGGAGTGTAAACACCAATCATGGAAAAGGCACTTCTCATTTTTAATGATTATGTCTCAGAAAGCAAACAAACTCAAATAGTGTAACTTCAATTTAAATTGTAGTGCACTTTTCAGGTCAGAAAATTTTTGTCAGAAAATTTTCCCACTTCTCAAAAATAAAGAGGAAATTGTATGTTAAAAAAAAAAAAAGAAAGAAAAAAAAAAAGAAAAAAAAAAGAAAAAAAAGGTTGTTTGTTACCGGTTATTTGAAAGGGGGTTTTAGCTGCATTCAGACCTGTTCAATTTTGGACTAAAAATCCTTTGTGTGATCCAGAGCATCTCTCTGCTAGCACATCCTATGGACCAGMCCCTTGCCTCCCATGGAAGAGGGTTTATTCAAATCTTTGATAGATGAGCCATTAACTGCAGTGAAGCAGCTGAGAATTCCCTTAGTGCAGTTAAGAGGTTTCAGCCTTCATACCCAAGACTAAGAATAATTGTGCAAGGCAAGAAAACTTTCAGCAAAGCCATTTTCTTTATTATTATTATATTTTTTAACTTAAACTCCCGTGGTCTGGAGTGCCCTAAGTGAATTGAAAACTATGGAGATCAGAGCAAATAATGCTCCATTATCCAGCTCCCYGAATCCCTGCAATCTCCCTTTGGCAGAGTTATCTGCTTTGGAGGATCATAACTCCTCCATTTGAGCAATCTGAGGCTCAGTCCACATCAGAAATTTCAATACCATCTTGTCCCCATCATGTTTTTCAGATCCATAACCCCAGCAGGACACTCAGAAAGGCAGTGGTGCTATGGAGAGTGACTCCAGCACAGAAATGCATTTACAGAAAGACCATTCAGACCATTAACATCAATTGTACTCTCTCCGTTTTGTCATTAAAAGTTAACTTTCTAATTCCAGAGTGTTCTGCCAGTTGCATGCAGGAAATGCAGATCTCTCCTCTTTCTCACCCATTGCTCCCACTTTGCAGTGATAAAGCAGTTCTTTGAATGGTTTCAGGGTTTATTCCACGCTTTAATGTGGAATTTCAAATCATCTAACAGATGGCATTGTCATCATTTTTCCTTCCCTACAGAATGAAAATGAACAAACACTTGACATTTCCAATATGTCTTCATCTAATGCAAGAATTTTTAGAAGCTGTGGAATAGTGATAATCTGCTTTGCCTTAGATGGCCAGAATTGGTAAATGTGTCTTCAAAATCCTACATTTGCCATGTGAATGGAAAAAAGGGATATAACCACACAATGCTTATATCTTGTACCATGAGCTCTGTCCATGGAAAAGTGGGAACATGGAATACCAGAGCAGCTGTGGAATGAGAGGGGAAGGTTCATTAGAGAAATTAGCTCAAGCTGCTCCAGCACTTAGAAATCAGCTCACATTTACAAACCCACAGCAGATGCATCGTTTGGCAAAAGAGTTCTGCAGTCAGTAATTTGCCATTCATCAGGGATTGCCTCTTAAATCTGGGATCCGAGCTAGGGTGCAGATGACATAGAAGGATAAATTTAGACAGGGCTGAAAACAATTATTTTGATTAAACCTCCAGCCAATGAGAGTGAGAGTCTTTCTATTCCTCCCCTCTGTGGTAAAGGAGSAGATTGGGTTTGACTTATCTTCCTTTTCTGTGCAGTTTGGATGGATCTTTTGCTGTTGCAGAGTCTGTTTGATGGAGTAGGGAGGGCTTTTGGATGGAATGGGATGCCTTGCTTTCCTGTTAGTGTTGGAGAAGGTGCTGGAAGGGAAATAGTAAAGTTTATTTACCTGAAAAGGAGAGGCTGTAACTATAAAAGTAAAAAATTGGATTTTCCTTGGCCTATTCTGCCACTGGGGCAACCCCTCAGATTGGGTGAGCTGATCCTGCTGGAAAATCTTTGTGGAGCTGTTGCCTGGCATCTGGCTCCACTTCTCTGTGGTCATTCCAGCCTCTCACAGCTTTGACAATGTTTCTCAGTCTTAGGAACTCTTTGTCCAATCTCACATGGAGGTGTAGGAAGGGTAATCCCAACTACTCTTTTAAAAAAATTCAACAAAAGCATCAATAAACCACTTTGAGCTGTTTTATTGGTAATGATGTTGCTCTTGGCTGACAGTCTTGTGTCCACTAARCTTTGGCTTGCTGTCACTATAAACAGCTCTGGTTTAAAATAATGATATGGAGGTAAAATGCCACTTTTTACTGAGTGTTTGACATCACAGGGATTTTTATGGAATCCCATAATGGTTTGGGTTGGAAGGATCATCCCATCCCACCCCCTGCCATGGGCAGGGACACCTTCCAGGGTGCTCCAAGGGTGCTCCAAGCCCCAACTTCCAGGGATCCAGGGGCAGCCACAGCTTCTCTGGGCACTCTGTGCCAGGGCCTTACCCACCCTCACAGGAAAGGATTCCTGCCCAATATCCCATCCATCCCTGCCCTCCCTCAGCCTAAGGCTGTTGTGCCCCTGTTTGTATAAATTCAATGCCACTGTCACTGCATGCTGGGTTATGTGCCTGTCCTGAAGTTGCTGCAATTCCTTTTTCCTCATTTCAGTGGTGTGGATTTGTCCCCATCCCTCCTTGGCTGCCCACTGTGGTTGCTGCTCTGCCTTGCACTGTTGTTATATCAAAGAGGAGAAAAAAGTCCAGAGCTGGGGATGGAGGGTGGTTGGAAAACTGAGCTGAAGGGCTGGGAYGTGTACTGCCATAAACTATAATTGCAAAATAAGTAGAGAGAGTTTGGGAAGAGGAAATTTTCTCTTATTTACTCTTTGGTAATTGTTGGCACTTGACTACAATCAGCTGCAAGCCTGTCTCTGAGTGACAGCACAATTCGAGCCAGAGCAGCCAAAAATAGCCCAGCATTTGAGTAATTTTAGGCTTTTTATAACCTAATACTGTTACAAGTAAAAGCCAGTGTAACGTGGGCAAATTGAACTCTCCTCGTGTAGAGARGGTAAATGGGGCAGTGCTGTGGGAAGCCATACCCAGAAAGCACCACTTGTACCTTGCTTCAGTCAGTTAGCCTCCTTTTTGTTCATTAGCCTCAATCATACAGAAATTATTCAAGTTCTACACTTAGAGTCTTGTTGGGATAAGAAGGCTGGCAGAGAGAAGGTCCAACCTTCATCACAACCTCCCTCAGAAACTTAATAASTACCTTTAAAATCTGATCTTGGGCAGGAAACCTGCTGGGTCCTGCTGCTGGGCTGAGGGAATTTGGAACAGTTGGGAATTTCCTGCTGAAACTTTAGTTAGAGATGCCTGCTTTATCATCAGCACTTCAATTWCCTCCTCTCATTGATCCCCACACCCTTGTTGGGAGAAGAAAGAATCATTCCTCCAACAGAGGGCATAGGAAAAGGTCACCTTTTCCTCATGGTCCCACAGATTCTCCCAAGGGCTCTTCCTCAGGGATTCCAGCCCTGAGGAATTCTCTCAGCACCCCAGGACTGCAGTGACATTAATTAACACAAATCTGCAGCATCACACATGCATGCATGGCTGTTTTGCCTTTATTACTAATTGCAGTTTTTATTTGGTACCAAAACACTGAGTGACACAGTAGAGCTGCTTGTTGGATTTTATGAGTTTTATGCCTTATAAAACCATTTTAAGAAGTTGTCTGTTTTGAGGACTGGCACAAAAGTCAAGCTACATTAACTTGTCAAGTGGATTAGTCATGAAACACCTTTATGGACATTTTAATTCAGAATTAAAGTGGCTGTAATTGGATTTAGCTTACTTTGCTTTCAGAGTAAATTCAGGTAAATCAAATTAAGGCTCATTCAGTGTAGAGGAATGGGCAGAAATCCTCATTTTTGGCTACATGGAGCAACTGAAAACATGAGACCAGGTTGGACAGGGTTTGGMGCAACCTGGTCCAGTGGAAGTTGTCCTTGCCCATGGGAGAGAGTGGAATGGAATGAGYTTTAAGGWCCTGTCCACCCAAAACCCTTCCATGATTCTGTGATCATAACTGTTGAGTACTGGCAAATCCTTGGGATTTTAGGGACTTGCTTCTTAATTTACCAAAGAAATRTCAGGGGCAGCAAATTGGATACAGATAGGAAGAACAAGCCAGCCAATAATTACAGCTGCAGCTGCTGCATCTGTGGAAAGACAAAAAAAAAATAGAAGTCCACAGTTCAAGCTTGAAGTTGTTTCTTGAAGAGTTCTCTTAAAGGAGAGGGAATTTGCATCCTAAATAACCAATGATCAATGCTGAGGTAAAGAAAGGAGGTGAGTTCACTTAACTGTGACATCATCTCTGAAATAAGCGGTGTTAGGTGAAGCAGAAAATAATGAGTTTTCACACTATCAGGCTTGTTTGAGGGCTTTTCAATGATTAAAAAAAAAAAAAAAAAGCCCAAACACTGGCTGTTGAATACAGAATAAATTCAATCACACTTTTCCAGCTGTGACTGTGTCACCTTCCATTCAGCAGGCAGTGTGTGACTGAATGAGGGCCCAGGTGACAGCTGGCCAAGCAAACCTGCAGTGCTYAGGCAGGTGTCACTGATAGAACAACCTGGCTTTTATGGCTCATTGTCCCTCTTTGATAAATGCWCTCTGGGTGTTAAATGCCCCTCCTGTGATGGCAGTGGATATAATTAATTCCTGATGATGAATACACTTCCAGTAATCCAAGTGACTTCCATTTTTATCCTATTTTTTTGACAGGAAGCCTCTTTTTTGCCAGATATCGACACCCTGCCTGGATCCCGCAGTGTGGAAAAGGAGATGCTGCTGATGACCATTTGGCTGGCAAATTGTGGCCAAGTGGCCACAGCTCAGTGTGAGGGGCAGGTGCCTGACAAGGTGCTGGGAGCAGCCAACATCTACCATGCCCTGGTGACSTGGCTCCTGTCCCTGGTGAGTGCAGTGAGCTGGCACAAGAGAGTGATCAGGGCTGTGTTTTGACCTCCAGTGAACACAAAATCACTCTGGAAACCTGGG